TTCGATGTGACTCGCCCGTTTCAACTCTTCACGGTGACGTCTCGGCGAGTTGAATATCTCGGTATCGTTTCGTCACGATATCGTATCGGCGAGAGTCAAGACGGTGACGACTCGGCCGAGTCGTCTCGATGTCGGCCGAGTCTTCGAACCATGATCGCGATACGGTGACTCAGCTGCTGAGTGGATAAAGTCTGCATATATGGGATGGCGTCTCCAAGAAACTGAAGTAACCAAACTTTGTTGCAACCACAAGCACACACAGCTTCAAAGAAGCATCTTTCGTTCGTTCTTATCCTAAAACAACTTAAAAAAGCAAAAATTTTCGAAGCAACTCGACATTTTTTGTCATCCACACGTTAACACAGAAACACAGGCTCTGGTACGTATAAGCCACTGAGAAAACAAGCAAGTAGGGGGGGGAACCATGTGGGGTTTGCTTGACAGCGACCATAAGTTTGCAAGAACGAGTGGTAAATAATCTTTTCTGAACCTACCAATTAGCAATGCAAGCAACTGCTTTCTTGACCGGCCTGCTTGCTGTCTCTGGACTCCATTATCTCAAACAGGAGATAGAAGAAGTCCATCATAAAAGAGAATACAAACCAAACTTTTAAGCGAAGTCAAGACAAAAATCTGAACTGGGAAAAAATGATGAATATTCTTGATGTCGTTAATCTAATCGACACGATTAAACTGGGTCACTATAAGTCAGATTTCTCCATTTGAAGCCCAAAGTAGGCGAGCAAGAAAATAGAGAGAAAGGAGGAAGCAAAGCTTAAGGTGATGCAAAGACCACACAAGGCATAATTTGTATTTAGCTGAGGTTTATCCATTCGATTTCTATAGCAACCAAAATAGCATCGATAGCCTCTGCTCAAGTAAAATTACCATCACGCACAAAACACGGCTTTGATTAGGACAGATACATTTAACATGGCGCCTGAAGTTCATAATATTCAAGAAGGGCATCACTTCACAGAAGATATTCTCAGATCAATGAATGAATTAACACGCAAATACCGTCATTACTTTTTTGTTGAACAAGTTTGCACGACATTTTCATCGGAACAAACAATCACTCCTCCGCATGGATGGCAGCTTCCATGTAGCTAGGAGTGTCAACGGGTCGGGTTCGAATCGAAATTGAAAATTTTAGACCCGAATCCAGACTCATTTTTATGTAGTAGATTCGGACCCCACCCGTATTCCCAACGGGTCTTAATATTAGAGTCTAGGAACCGGATCTCGAATCGGATCCGGATTTACCTGGAAAGAAAAGGTCCAAATTTAAACATTCCAAAATTAAATCCAAAACCAATCAAATTACAAAACTGAATCACAAATAACTCATAATAGTCAATTCAAAACTAACCACAAATCAATTTACAAAGTCATTACTAAATTGTTAATTTGATAAAAAAAAATGTATTCAAAAATATTTATATATTATAATTATTAATATAATGTTCAGATTCGAGATGTAGCGGAATCTAGTATTCTGTATCCGACCAATTTTTTGTTTAAGTAAATGGGTTCGAATCCGGATATCGAAATAATATTTCAACCCAAACTCAGAAAAAATATATCGAATTCGGGTCGGGCCCAGGTCCAAACCCGACCCGTTAACACCCCTACATGTAGCTACTTCCCCATTTAATTAGCAGATGATTGTAGACTTCACATGTAAACATGAATTTAACACCTATAACATTCTTTCATTCCTATTCATTGCCAAGCCATGAATTTAGTACCTAAAACATTCTTTCGTTCTTAGTCGTTGCCATGTTTTTACCCTGTGCAAGTAATAATGTCAATTCAAAGAACACGTGTGAGTGTCCAAAGAAAGACTTTGAAAAGGGGATCTGACGTGTTTTGATCTTCTGCACTTTTTTTTCCATTTGGAAACAGAGCCCGCCAACGTTGTCTTCTTCATAAACTCAAACCTGACTCTCTCTTTATAAATTAACGCTTGCGGCCCTTATCCGTTCCCCACTTCTCTTTTCTATACACCTACTCAAAAATGGCTCTGACACTTCGTTCTTCAACTTCTTTTATCAACTTTAAAGACAGCAGCAGTCTAAAAACTCCAGATGATTACAGTGGCATGGTCTGTTTTGCCCAGATCAGGCCAACATGCCGCCTCCGGGCGAGGAATTCAATGCAAGAAGCTCCAATCTCACGTGAGAGACCCTCACTGCTCGAAGGGAGAAAAAATGAGCAGGGAGAGAAACTTCATGGTTTACCAGCTCCTCATAGCCAAAACGGTTCAAGGGTACCTGTTTTTGTGATGCTACCGCTTGATACCGTATCAGTTGGTGGGAACTTGAACAAGCCAAGAGCGATGAATGCTAGTTTGATGGCTTTGAAAAGTGCAGGAGTTGAAGGAATAATGGTTGATGCTTGGTGGGGATTGGTAGAGAAAGATGGACCCTTGAAATATAACTGGGAAGGTTATGCCGAGCTTGTGAATATGGTTCAAAACCATGGCTTGAAGCTGCAAGTTGTTATGTCTTTCCATCAATGCGGAGGGAACGTTGGAGATTCTTGCAGGTACCTTTTCATCCGCTAAATTTTAGATTTTTAGGCGATTGATACATATTACACCCTGAAAGTAGTCAGGTTAAATTGCCCCCAAGCACCAACGTGCCATTTAATTCAGGCTTAGTCTTTCCTATGTCTTTGCTTTATTTGACTTCTGTGGTCTAGGTTCTATTTTATCAATTCCAGCGTGTAGAACATGAATAAACAACCATCTTTGTAACTCACATTTCTTGCCGGTAAAGCATACCATAGGAGATCTAGCAATCTTGTGGGGTTATAACAATAACTATGAAGAGTGTTTTAGGTTTCTCATTTGAAAGCAAGAACCTTCCAAGAGGTCGACATGAGATTTTTGCTTTAGCTGTAATTTAGGATGTTTTATCTTCCACCTGAAGATGCCTCTACTCATTGAAGGGGCCCTGTAAATCTTCAATTTTCTCTGCTAATTGTATTCAGAACCAATATCCATACTTCCTTGACATATTGCAGTACTATCTTCATCTTAAAAGACACAGCTTTTTCTGTACCTTTACTGTAAATTATTGTTATCAATTTTGTAGCATCCCCTTACCCCCATGGGTGCTCGAAGAAATAAGCAAGAATCCCGACCTTGTCTACACAGATAGATCAGGCCGAAGGAATCCTGAGTACATCTCACTGGGCTGTGATTCTTTACCACTGCTCAGAGGAAGAACACCAATTCAGGTCTACTCAGACTACATGATGAGCTTCAGAGACAGATTCAAAGATCACTTGGGGGAAGTCATAATGGTAAGGCTTTTATTTTCTAGACTGCTTTACCTAACATTTTTAACTTGGACATATTGCAGTCATTTATATAAATATCTCAGAGAGGAAAAGATTTAATATATGATATAGAAATGTGTTATGAAACTCAAAAACACAAAAGACACTAGTAAGATCCCTGAAATATTAAGAAAAGCTTCTGAATAAATGGGTTTAAAGGGAAGGAAATGGCTCTGCAAAAGATGCAGAGAGATAAACAGAGAACAGGGAGCAAATTAGATACAAAACCATGGCCAGATTTGCACATAATTGTCTCCTCTCACTGGGAAACACTCTCTCCCTCCCATTAATCCTGTCACATTTCATGTCATAGTAAACCACACAATCTGTAACACTGCAAAATATCCTTGAAAATATTTTTTATCACATAAAATACCTCTCACATTCGCCACAAAGGGCAAATTGAAACATTTAACTCTTTGAAGTTACTGTTAAGTTCCAAAAGTAAGGGTACATAGCATTTTGGACAAGAAGTACATGACAAGAGATCCAAATCCTCGTTCATAGTTGAAGCAAGTGATTGCCAAGAATGCTTCCAAAAGGGAGAGATTAATAGCTACGAATAAAATCCAAAAGGGAGAGAGTAATAGCTACGAATAACAGTAAAGCGCAGCAAAGGCCAAATAATTCCTTGCAATATGCATGTGCAAAAGAATTTGAGAACCAATCAACTCTTACATAAGCAATCTTGTAAAGAGAACATGATTATTACATTGAGACCGAAAATAAGTACATGTTCAACTAATGATTATATACATTAGTCTCAAATGTTCAAAAAACTCTATTCAACTAATTAAAAACAACCATCTGTAAGAAACTATATTGTGCTACCCGCAACAATTGCTCTGGCTCTGTTTGGCTGATTGTTTGCCCTATCTTCACTTTCACTACTTCTGGCTCTGGTTGGAGGCAGAAGGAACTTGAAACTATATCAATGAAGTGACAAGGCATGAATACTAAAAAATACACGAAACTAGCCTTTAGGGACCACGAAATCACATATGATGGACCACTTAAAGGGTTTTAACAATGCCTAAAATATCTCCTAAACGGACCACCATACATTCGTACCTTTTAACAGTCGTACATAAAGAAGCTCCTACCGTCATCTATACAAATGAAATTTTGTTTCTTCATTGCAGGAGATTCAGGTGGGAATGGGGCCTTGTGGAGAGCTAAGATACCCATCCTATCCAGAAACCAATGGAACATGGAGATTTCCTGGAATTGGAGAATTTCAATGCTATGACAAGGTACGCCCAAACTTAATTTTCTGAAGTGAAATTGAACCGACCGCCCTAACTTCCATCATATTGATATAGATCACCTTTGTGTTCTTCATAGCTATGGTAGTGATTCTATCAGAACTCTTATATTCTTGACTCAGAATAGCCTCTCCCCTCTGTTGTCTCAACAATGACGCTATTGAGACCACAAAAATTTGAGATGAGAGGTAAACATAATATAAAAATCTCATGGTAGCCTGTCATCATGACAAAACTCGGGGGAAATTAGTTACTCGAGTGAAATTTTAGAAATGTTCGATCTGCCAAATAAACAAGAATTTTTTCTACGAGCATTATGTGTTTACATAATCAAAATTCAGCCTCTATCAGAATACTATATAAAGCCGATTCTAGTTTCATTTTTTCACGAAAACATATTTATTTCCAAAACAGTACATGAAATCTTCACTGGAAGCATCAGCAGAGGCAATTGGAAAGAAGGATTGGGGCAATGGAGGGCCTCATGATGCTGGCCACTATAACCAATTTCCCGAAGACACAGGGTTTTTCAGAAGGGATGGAACATGGAATAGTGAATATGGACACTTTTTCTTAGAATGGTATTCAACAAAGCTTCTGGAGCATGGAGACAGAATCCTGGCTGCAGCAGAAGGTATATTCCAAGGTACTGGAGCTAAACTGTCTGGAAAAGTAGCTGGAATACATTGGCACTACAAAACAAGATCACATGCAGCAGAATTAACAGCAGGATACTACAATACCAGGCATCGAGATGGCTACCTACCAATAGCAAATATGATGGGTAAGCATGGGGTTGTCTTCAACTTTACATGTATGGAAATGAAAGATGAGCAACAGCCTGAATATGCAAATTGCTCACCACAAGGTTTAGTCAGGCAAATAAAGATGGCAACTAGAACAGCTGGAATAGAACTTGCAGGAGAAAATGCCCTTGAGAGACATGATGCTGGAGCTTATGCCCAGGTATTGGCAACAAGTAGATCAGATGCAGGAAATGGATTGAGTGCCTTCACATACTTAAGAATGAATAAGCATTTATTCGAACCAAACAACTGGCAAAATTTGGTGGAGTTTGTCAAAAGCATGTCTGAAGGTGGTAGACACACAAGGCTTCCAGAGAGTGATACCAGCAGGACAGAGTTATACGTGGGATTTATCAAAGGAAAAAGTGAGCAGAAAATTAATGAGGCTGCCCTGGTATAAAGCGACATGGACATAGAACTTTTACATTCCAGAGCAATAAAGATATAAGAGAAAATATAGGAGATGAGAAGAAATCATACATTCTGTACTTATCATACTACAAGGTAGACCAACAAAAGAAAACTAAATCCATGTAAATTTAGAGCTCTGAAAATCCATCATGCATAACTAGACTTCATATGGTGGAGGGAAGCTAAAGAGCTTGTTAAGTAATGGGTATTAGACCACCATGTCCTTGTTGCAGTGTAATTTAGCAACATCACTTGAAGATCAGCCATGGATTCATATTACGACAATGCACTATACATCTCCAATCCAAGTTATTTACCTTTTTAATTTGTGAGATTTATCCAGTTTCTGTCTCTTCCTTTTGCACTTTGGTGTCATTATATTTCATCAGAAACTACCAAAAAACTAAATTAATACATTATCATCCCATACTGGAAAATCAAGCCTGTCGAAACGCTTACAAGTTATTAAAGAAAAGTACATCACAATCAGTTTAACATACCAAAATGTCAACCTATATGCCAAACATACAGCAATTATATGCAGCAAAATTTTGCTCCTCGTCCAAAACTAACTAGCCAGCCCAGGAAGCACACATTGAGAGCTTTTGATTGAGGTCCAAATACCTTCAGCATGGACTCTACTCCAATCCAAGAAGGACATTTCGACCCATGACTTTCTCGCAAGTTCGAGTAAGACTACCGTCTTTTAACACCTACAAAAACTATTATACTCAGAATCTACACTAGACCAAGTAAAGAACAACCTTGATTTAGTCCCATAGATAAAAAAAAATTATTACTTTTTCCAATATACATAAAAAAAAAGAAATCTAATTTACTCCAATCCTATATTATATTGACAAAATCCCAATGCAGACAATATCTAAAAAATCGTATTTTTGTTCCAGCACACAACTACAAAATAAAAATTGCAGGCAAAATTTTGTGCTTGTGATGAATTACCGGATATTAGGAATCCGCCGGAGGAGGAGAAGAGGGATGTTCGGAGTTGGAGCGTCGGAGGCCTTCAATCAAATCGTTGAGTTCCTTTCGAGCTGACTCTCTTCCGAACATAAATCCATACCTGCAGAAGAAGCAGAAGGAACTCGTTATGGATTACAAAAAAATTGAAACTTTGTTATTGAAAAAAAAAAGTAACAAATAAGAGTAAAGGGGGTAATGATGGTGGGCGGTACCAGCCGGAAACAGCAGAAAAAACGGCGGCGGTCGCAACTGTTTGTAACAGAGTAAAGCTCTTCTTGTTCTGCATTGGGTCAGTGGGAAGCAGAATCCGGAAGCGGAGGGAAAGAAAGAACTGAGCGAGCCGATGACGAAGCACTGGGTTTATGACGCGGCGGGCTGCTTTTTTTTTTTTTTTTTTTCCTCGTTTATCGTTTAATTGACTTTAGTTTTTATGGGATTGATTTTGTTTTTTAAAAACATTTTTATTGAAGGGCCGAACTCAAAACCTCTTATTTATATTTAAAATTAAAATTAATTATTTTGATTTGATTTAATTTTGTATTTTATTGTTTTAATTGGATAGGATTTGCAGGAAAATTCTTATAATAACCTTTTTTTAATAAAGACATTTTATGAAATGATATGAAATGAGTTACGGCGGAAAAAAGATTTTGTAAAGCTGAAAGTAACTCTTACAATTACACGCAATTTTGGAGGAAAAAAGATTTTATGGGTTTTGTAAGATGATCACTAACTAAAAACTTCTCTTTTGAAAGAATTTATTTGTTTGGATTAGCTATTTTTTGAGAATATTTTTAAAAAATTTTACTATAGCAGTGTAAATAAAAAATTTTGAAAAATTTTTACTATAAAAATTTTTCAAAATATTTGATATATTGTATAAATGAGATATTTTTTGAGTTATTGGGTATTACTGTAACATTGTATTTAAAAAACTTATTTTTGAAAAAATGACCAATTCAAACGGAACCTATTCATTTGAAATATTGTTGGTAATTTCAAAGAAAAAAAATTTTATGAGTTTTGAAATTCGAACACTAATTAAAAACTTCTCTTTTGCAAGAATTTAGATATTCATTTGAAATATTATTGTTTGTGACAGAGCAATCTCTGCCATGCTTATTAGAAGATTTGTTATCAACTGATTTTCTTCCCCACAAAAAAACAAAAAGATAATTGTCGATCCTTGAAGAAACCTATATTTTTTTTAGGGTAAATGACTCTTCGTAGTTATGACAAGGAATTACTTAGCCAATGACAATTGGTTACAAGCCAGTTCTGCATGTTGCATGGGGTAAAACAGAAGACAGAAAGGGAGAACAGAAGAAGAAAGGAACGCATACATAAAAATGGCTGATGTACATGAATAGTTTGCGAAAATGGACAGGTAAAACTCATGCAGCAGAAAAAAACCTGACAAGTCGCTTATTAAATTCTGCAGGGGCCGAAAAAAATGCAGAAGAGAAACAAAAACCACAATCAGCTTAGCAACAAACTCTAGCCTCTAGCAATTTAAAAGAATTTTACATGCACAGTAGTAACAGCATTATGGAATGCCACATCCCAAAAATAATGCATAATGGCCGATCCTGAAACTTTTCCTGCAGACAGAGTTTTGTATCCATCCTGGCACCATTCTTCCTCGAAGTCTGGAACCTTGCTTTCTCATTAAAACTTTTGTGCTCATCAGAAAAATAGAAATTCGAATCCGTATTTAGCAACTCCAAAAATTGTATGGATCCATCTTCTACAAAAATGCCAGATTCCAAACCCACGTGAGAAATTGAATAAACAGTGGGAATGTTCTCGTATTCGCATAACAGCTTGAATTACAACTCCATGTTCAAGTTGAGCAGGAGATCGATTAAGATTCAGGCCTGTAGCAGATATCAACACAAGAATAGTTAGCCAAAGAAGGTATAAAACCAAGTCAATTAGTTTTATCTTTAGCTCATATAAAGTTTCTATACAAAGCCAGGTTGAACTTTACCTGAGCAGCATGGCTCATCTGTCTCATAGCTGCATTCACTCTCAATTTGTTGAATTGTTTATCTGTTGCGACCGGTTTACTTCTGGAGCTTGAAGGCTCGGGACCTATTGTATTTGAAGAACTTTCCTCTTCTGTGTCTTTTATAGCTTGCTGCAAGACCTCCACTACCTGAGTGATTGTTGGTCTATCTCTTGCATTCTTGTTCAGGCAGCTATCAGCTAGCTTTGCAATCCTCCTTGCAGCATTCAGAGAATATTGGTTTTGTAGACGAGGATCGATTATCATGCTGAATTTCCTACTGTCTGCTGGGAACTGTTTCACCCACTCCAACAGCTTCTGCTCCACCGCCGGGCGATTTCTCTCCAGAGCTCGCCTGCCCGTGAGGATCTCATAAAGTACGACCCCAAAACTATATATATCACTCCTGGTTGACAGATGGCCTTCTGTAACATATTCTGGGGCAGCATAACCATAAGTCCCGACAGGCTAATCACCAAAAAAGGTTCAAAAACAACAATAAGAAGAAGAGATTCTGTACTACATACATAAATAAGTATCATCGCATGATTGCAGTTGTAGCAATGCTTTTGAGGAGGTGAACCAAACGCAACCAAAGAGATGAGTAAAAGTGCAAAAGACTTTTGAAATCTTTCACCAAAGCAAGATCATAGGCATACGAATAACACAAAAAAAAAAAGGATGAAGAAAAAGTATATAAAATACAATGTGAGATTGTAAAAGAATGCATAATCCAAGTACACTAGGAAGGGAGTGAAAAATAGTGCTATATATGAAACATAAAGTTTCAAGATTCTCTCCACATTTATTGAACTAAAAAGAACTGAACCGAGCATTTTACCTCATCTTATACACAAAGAGCACTTAACCAAAATACACTGAAGTACAGTATTTTTTCTCAGCCATTTAAAAAAAAAAAGATACTGAATAGGTTTCAGATAGCAGCCTACTAATAGCAAAACTACCATAAAAATACCAACCAATCTGAAGGGTAAACACCAATTTAGAGTAAAACTGCAGTAAAAATCAAACTTCTGTCATACATACCGCTGTAGATACATGACTTCTATCCCCTATTGGCCCTTCTCTTGCAAGCCCAAAGTCTGAAAGCTTTGGAATGAAGTTGTTGTCCAAAAGCACATTTGAAGATTTAAAATCTCGATAAATCACCTTCAAATTCATACACGAACAATTAAGACGTGTATTTACCTTTAAATGAAAAAAGTAAATATATAAATAAGGCAAAAAGCACAATAAGGAAGTCTATTTGCCTGTGCTAACATGCATTAGCTAATCAGTGGATGTACACTTTCTGACTCTGCTACAACTTTTCACATTTTTAATCTTGTTTTAGAACTTTTTCTAAATTTGGATGCAATCAATGCAACTTTGAAAGAACTATAATAAAGAAGTAGACAAGGAAACCAGATTGTGTACTTTAACAATCAGTGTGGAAGTGTGCCAAAGACATGTTAATGGACCAGAAAAAGTGCTAAAACAGGACAGAAAGTTTGAGCATTGCAGAAATTGGCAATGAAAATAACTTAGAATTTCCAAGTTTTCCATTACATCTTAGAAAATCAAAATATCAGCACTCAAATAAAATCCTTCTTTGTCATTGATCTGTTTTAACATGATAAAAGTAAAAAAGGGTAGATTAAAATCTAACTGACATGCTGATTTTTCTTTCTTTCCTGCAAGTCAACAATCACATCACTTGATTACAATTTAACAACCAAAAATTAGCACCTGTACTTCCAATCCCTCGTGTAAATAAGCCATCCCCTGAGCCGCCCCAAGAATAATATGTAGCCTTGTTCTCCAAGGAATGGCTGGCACGGTCCTGTTGAAGAGATGATCCTCTAAGCTCTTCTTGGGCATGTACTCATACACCAATAACCTCTGAATCCCTCTTTCTCCATCTACAGCACAGTATCCCAAAAGCTTTACAAGGTTAGGGTGTTCCAAAACTCCAAGAAATTGAACCTCTGCTACCCACTCTTTATGTCCCTGCATGAAAGATGAATAATGAGAAACATTCTCCTGTAATGTAAGCCTTAAAGTTGAAACTTCATAGCAGCATTGAAACAAGTAATCATGAAATAACTCAACAATAAGGGCATAAGATGTACATTTTGAAGGTATAGATGAAGTCAGATAGTGTAATTCAGGTACTAATCATCTCCACTCAGTATAGCCTTGACCCAATAATCTGGTGTCTTGTTTTAATTCTTGTATGCTTGAAGTTCGGAGACACCATAGTGGTATAGGAATGTCAAACTCAGTCAAAGAGGTCTATGAAACATTTGGATGTCAAGCAAATGAGCAAATGACAGTGTCGTCTGAAATAACAAACTCAAGGCAATAGGTTGATATTAGAAAATCTAGTGTATGGACTGAATGTATGTTTTTTGGACATATGCTGAATCATACTGATGTTAGCATTCCACAAGGTGGATCTGAGTCATGCTGGAAAAGCTAAAGATAAATAAGAGGTCCCCTTTCAGGGAAAAAAAAAAGGAGGAGGAATGTTTTGTACATCAGATAAGACTAGTAAAGAGAAAAAGGTACTCCTTGGTACAGCAACCCCTACTCCAATCCACAATGGAGAAGGTGAAGAAATGGGAGACCGTGGCCCATCCATTACAAAATTAATACACATTAAAGATCTTTAAGTTGAAACAAAAGTTGTCCATTACGTTCGGATTCATATTTTACCAAAAATGAATGAAAAATTTATACAGATGCTGGTCATCTCAGTAAGTGCAATCTTTACAGGAAACCACTTCCACTTCTAGGTACTATGAATTTCATTACCAGTAAGGGGCACTTTTAAAAGAATAGCAAGGACCATGACCAGCTCCTTCTACCAAATATTGTGGCAGGTCCAACCCAAAACGTGGAAAACTAATCAAAGTCCAAACTTTTAACCTGTTCTTGTACATGAAAGAGTACGAAAAAGGGGGGGGGGGGGGGGGAGAGAAAAAAGAAAAAGAAAGAAAAAAGTGATCACCGGTGTGGTATTTACAGCCACCGGTGTGGTATTTACAGCCGTCATACAACTTCATGAAAACAACATCTTCCAAGGGAGAATTATCAAATCAAGACACCCATTAAAATATTTAATTCATGTCCATATGTTGTAAAGTTTTCATTTAATTTTAGTCTACGAAATTGTGCAACCAAGACTTCCGTTGCCTAGAAAACGGACAGCTGATTATATATAGACGTAGTAGCCGTGTATCCTTTGACCCAAGTTAACTTGGATTAGTCTAACATTACCAAACATCACATAAAAGTAGTTGCCCCTTCCAGCAGCTCTCTGGCATCTTGTTTTCTAATACATTGCAACACATTTTTAAATTAAGTTTCAACTTTTGTTTA